GTCACAGTTTCAGAGTCAGTGACAAAACTTGAGCTAGAGATTGGTTCTCATCAGCACCGTTTTTTGAAACTATATAGCAGATGTGCTGCTCACAGGTGGAACCATTAGAGGAGCCATTTTATAGCCAGGAAAATTATTTCTAATCCCATTCCATCCCCTGCTTCTGTGTTCCGCCCTTGAAATGACAGCATGCTGTGTTAATAACTACAAGGTTAGGGGCCGTGTTCCCATAACGATACATAACACAAGTGAGATGAAAGGGAGCACGTGCATTTGTATTTAATCGTGCGCAGCCTGTGTGTTACGCATGCACGGGAAAATCTGCAGGCGGAGTCTGGCTTTGCACCTGAGGCTGTGGCGGGGCGTGTGGCGGGGCGTGTGGCTGTCGCTCTGCTTTGCTGCCATGTCTCGCACCTCCCAAGGAAGTTGGGGAAAGTACTCTTAATTTCAGCAGAGAGCACTATAGAATTTGGCTTCACAAGGAAGCTCACTTGAGCTGCAGATTTCCATGCATCTTAACCAGTCTCGAATGTCCCCAGTCATTTAAGTAGTTGAAGTATTTCAAGTAAACACCGTTGTTTTAATTGTGGCTAAAATGTTTGAAGAATCTCAGACTTTACGTGAGACTGAGTGAAAGCAAAATTAACGTGAGCCGAATGTGTCCACGATAATAAATCTGACACTGAGCGTTTCCCCTGCTCTGAGACCTGCTGACACAGCCCTCACCGCATCTGCCCCCCAAACAGCCCCCTGCAGTACGTCACTTCACCCCATTCTCAGAAGTCAGGGCCGGAATCCACGGGCACTAGGCCTGGGGTCAGAGCAAGCATCCAGCTCCCAAGCCCACACTCGCCTCCAGGCCAGGATCAGTCGTGTGTTCTGAAATTTAAAAATCTTTATTTCTTTATTTCTTTGACCAGGTGATACACTTTTGGCCATTCAAGCACCTTCTGGAACACAGCTGGAGGTGCCCATTCCGGAAATGGTATGTGGGACAGCGTCCGTTTAAACGGATCTGCTCTCGGGAGGGACAGGTGCCTTTTCCTTAACTGAACACGAGCTACTTGTGTGTGAACACTTTTGAGTTGTCTGTTTAAGAGAGTTGGTCCCGGACTGGGGTGTGTTTAGTGCTTTGGTAAAATTGTAGGTGTCACCAAATGGGTCCTTCGAAGTTTAACTTTTTCGATTGGATTTAATTGGTGCTCCAGGATATCAAGGAATGAGTCATGGTGACGTCAACAGTTTGAAAAAGTCAGTTTGACTATCTATAACCAGTATAATAACCTGAGAAAAAATTTCAATTTAAGTATCAATAATAATATAATGCTTTATATTAGGTCTTTTTCAAAAACATTTTATGGCTTATCGCGTCAAATGTTTGACTCTGTGCCATATGAACGTATCGTGATTTTAGTTTTCGGATGCAGAGTTCCTGAAACCAACTGACTGGACAAACGGGAGTGGGAAGTGATTACTGCTGCCATCCGCTCCCTGCCCCCAGCGCCGCTCGAAGCGTGTGCACGGGTCCCGGAGCGTCAGGGTCCCGGGAACCTCTGAAATGCAGGGGCTTCACGTCGGTCGTTCCCGTGCGTGCCGGGTGGAGAAAGAGTATTCACTTGTGAAACAGCTGCCGTTTAAGACAGCCTTTGGGGACGGCCACATCCACGGTGGCCTGTGCCCAGGGGTGGCGCCCACGCGTGGAGAATGCGTGCCACGCCGACACGTACGGTCCCATTAAAAACGGAAGGTTCATGAGGAATTCCACGCCTGGGAGTTCTGACGATCAGTGTTTGGGAAAAGCTTTTAGCGGCACGGGGCTTGGCCCCCTCCGCACCCTGCTCCACTCCCGGCCCTCACCGCGGTGCGTGGACTCGGGCCGTCCCTGGCAGCCCTGTCGTGGTTCTGACGTAGCCTCTGTCCACCCATTCGTCCCAGGGCCAGAATGGACAGAAGAAATACCAGATCAACCTGAAGAGCCACTCGGGCCCCATCCACGTGCTGCTCATCAACAAGGAGGCCAGCTCGTCCAAGCCCGTGGCGTTCTCCGTGCCCCCGCCCGACGACCTCACGCAG